ATATATATATATATATATATATTTAAAATTTTTATAATATCTTTAAATTTATATTTTATTTAAAAATAAAATCATTATTTGTTTTCTTAAAAATTCATAAAATCGTCTTATAACATTGATAATGATAAATAATAAAATAAAATGTTAAAATCAAGATTTGTATCGCTGCATTACACGATTACTCTAGTGCTATTGTGTAACCAAGAATACCACTTGTGTCCAAATATATACATATATATCTCTCTCAAATGATCACACGACCACTCTTTCTAAAAAGGTCGTAAGTCAGCGTCCCCGTCTTCTTCACTTCACCCAGCTGCGGGAGTCGAGAGGCACCAAATCTTTCACACCACAAAATCCAGACAGAGAAACCGATCGAAAAACTGTAAATCATGTCCGGCGGTATAGCTCGTGGCCGTCTCACCGAGGAACGGAAAGCATGGCGAAAGAATCATCCTCATGTTCGTTCTATTCTTAACCCTAGGCTCCATTTTTCTAATCATGTAGTTATGCGATTTAGGTTTCGTGTTATTGTTTGTATTTGATTTGATTTGATCTGATTAACTAGGGATTTGTTGCTAAGCCGGAATCGCTTCCCGATGGTACGGTCAATTTGATGGTTTGGCAGTGTACTATCCCCGGTAAGGTTGGGGTAAGTTCTCATCATCTCTCTGTTTATGTAATTAATTTGTTTTTATGGCTAATAGGCTGGGGGTAAGCTCTCATTACCTCTCTTATCAGAGTTGAAACCATTACATCGGGGATTCCTTTTAAGGCTGCGTTTGGTAATTGGTACCATTGTGCCAAAAGCTATTTCGTGTCTTTAAGTGTTTGTTGTGATTGTTCTGTCAGATTATTATTTTATGCTAGAAAGTGGTGTACATCCAACATTACTTACATAATTTCTGTGATGTTAAGTGGGCTTGGATTATACAGTACTTTATACTTTTCAGACTGCAGTTGTCCTAATGTTGTAAATATATTTTCTAAGTAAGGCCTTCTTTTTCTTCATCTGTTTAAATTGGATTTCAGTTGCATGGCAGTTCTGGGAGGAAAATATAACATTGGTAGTATGTTACTGCTGTGCTGACTGAACAGCGGTTTATTATTGAAATTTGTGAAGTTTCACCGTTTGCCTGTCTTAAAACTTGATGGTACAAACAATCTAAGGCATTGATCGTGTCCAGTGATAGTTGTATCTTTCTGTAACCGATGTTCTAAAAACCTAACAGGCTAGGTGGTCAAGTGACCTTCTAGGGCAGTCACCTAAGTGGGGTTTAACAGAAGGCATAAACAGAACTATAGTAGGTTCATTTTAGTATGTAAAAAATGATTATGTAAGCATAAAAGAATTAGAACTGTGACACAATATTATTGTTGTACAATTAGTCCTTTAACAAAAGAATCAGAAAATTCCCTTCAAACTCCAAATTGAGAGAAGTCAATTGATGAAAACGGGTTTTGACATGTTGATTGATCTCTGTTTTTTTTAAATGCTTACTCCTAGGCAGTTGATTCAATGGCCTTAACTAATGTTAGCGGTGAGGGGTCGCATAATGCCTAGATGGATGCTGAAACAGGCGTAAGTCAAGATTTTTTGGAACAATGACTTTGACCGTGACTGTTTGACCAATGCATGGCTTGGATGCAGAGTACAAGGATATTGTTTGACATTTTTGTGTTTTACCCATATGTGTCCCTTTTCTCTTTTTGGGGGTGGCTGCCATCCCACCTGGGAGGGTAATTTTTTCTTACTTCTATCATCAGTTTGCTGCTCAAATTTATCAGGAAAATGGTGAGGTGACCATGTATCTCTTGGTCGTTGACTACTCTAGTTTCCAGGTTTGAACCATGGATCCTGTGGTATTCCATATACATGAACCAGCGTGTATCTATACTAAATTGTAAAGCATTTAAGTTTTTTTCTTAAAGAACTCTTAAAATTTCAAGAGTACAACTTACGAAACGTAAGTATAAATTACCAATGCCTACAAAATCTTTCAATTTTTATAATATTCCAATTTTGCTCTTCTTTTAAATGTCAAGAACAAAGTTTTTTGGAAATCTCTACTACCGTTACCAAATATAAGGTCAATCAACCAAATAAACAACATAATATTTGAGATTTTTGGAAAACTCATATCACAATTGCTCCATTTGCAAAAAAAAAAATCATAAAAATTAAAATTAAAACAATTCAATTTTGGTTTACAGTTAAATTTTACATTTTGCTGCATCGCACAGGTACACTTCTAGTCAATGTTAATTTTAGAAGCTAGCATTGCAGCAGGGTCATAACTCATGTTTCTAGACCTTGCTTGTATTTTACTCATGATACACTTCATCATTATCTGAAGGTATGGAATATCATAACGAAATAATAAACATCGATGCAAATATGAAATGTTGAATTTGATCCTTAAGACCACTGTAACATGAGTGCAGGGGTGGGAAATATGTTCCCTTTCGGTCATCCTTCCTTGCCTTATGCATTTTGTTTGTAAAACTCATTCAAGTGTGTAAGAACCCTAGAGAAAGTTTAACACTTCATGAACCATCAAACAGCCAACCAGGGACCAGAGCGTCACATTCAATTCTTGATTGTTATTCTCGGTTCTTGGAGATGGTTGTCATCATCTCAAATACCCAACTAGTTAAATGTATGGAACATCATTTTTATATATTCATGCAGTGGTAGGAAGTTATTAATTAAACCATGTACGCAGGGATGTAATCCATGCTGAGGACTTGGACTTTAGAGGCAGTTCCTGCTTACTCTTATTTTGAGATTAAGTAGAAGTCTGCCTATGATTTTTCTGTGCCCAGGCTGCTGGTTGCAGTTGGAAGGCAGTAGAGGACAACTGGCCTCTCTATAGCACACCAACCTGAACTTCTCATGACACTACAATGGTTGATGTGGATATAACCATGAGAAGTCATGTGCTGGGAGGACAACAAGCTTGTTGTTGTCATCGTAATATTACCCAATGAAGCACCCAAAAATTGACGATTGGATCATTGGTGGATGTGTAGACATCATGAAGGAGGCGGTTAGAGACTTCTTTTGGGATTCCCCTGGGGGCGAACCTCTGATTTCCAAGTTGATGCACTGTACAAATTCTATTATTTGACCTTCTAATCTTAAAAAGGTCTGATGTTGTCTCTGGAAGGATAAACGCTTTGCTTTCTTCCAGGTTAAAGCATATGCATACGATGCTTCTGAAATTTCAGGCATGAAGTTGTGTGCTGCAGTTAGCGGTTTATATGATTATTATTTGCTTGGACTTTTTTCTGCATCATATGGATTGGCATCGTCTTGGTGAATTACTTTGTTGTCATTTCGACCCTGTTAGGTGAACTTTACGAGCAGGGAATAGCCATGGATCCTTTGTTGCATTGTTTTTTTTTTTTTTTTTTTTGTTTACTTGGAGGGGGTGTATTATTATTTTTGGAAACTGAAGGATGGAATTTTTGTAATTTGTCTTGGAGGCATAAGATAAAAGTTTATAAAGGAACACTCATCTCGATCTGTTTTTAGTGATTTTATTTTGGTTTGCTTTTGTGGGAATTCATTATACGTGGCCGTTGCAGACTGATTGGGAAGGCGGTTATTACCCCCTCACTCTTCATTTCACCGAAGATTATCCGAGCAAGCCACCAAAGTGCAAGTTCCCCCAAGGGTTCTTCCATCCAAATGTTTACCCATCTGGAACCGTTTGTCTGTCAATCCTGAATGAAGACAGTGTACGAGCTTCCAATCCTTATCAAAAAGATGGAAGAAATGTTTAGTTTTATTATTTGTCAATTTGTCATTTAAATATCTGATGTTTTAGCTGTTGTCTATAGGGTTGGAGACCAGCAATAACAGTCAAGCAAATTCTAGTTGGTATCCAGGATTTGTTGGACTCACCCAACCCTGCTGATCCTGCTCAAACCGATGGTTATCATCTCTTCATTCAGGTAATCCTGTTCTATATCTGTCACTAGAACTAAGGGATGTTTGGCTAGAGGTAGTAAGCAGTAATCAATGGGAAATGAAAATAAAGTAACTGTTTGGATTAAATAAAATAATGGGCTCATTCCCCAGAAGCCCAAATTTTCATTTCAGATTAAACCGTGGGGGGGAATGAAAATCCATTCCCATTTCCATTTACTGTCATTTTCATTCTCCGGAGTGAACCAAACAACCCCTAAGAACTAGCCAGGTCTAGATATACTAGTCTGGCATGGACCCTTGATTTATAACAACAGAAATTCATTGGTCATCATTGCAAAACAAACAACATATATAACAAAATACTTGATCTCTTAACAATTTGGTGAAAGATAATAAAAATTAATATTGATCAAGTGGTTCAGAGTTTGGCTCAATACCAAGCGTAATATTGCAGCTGACATGGAAAGACTGAACTCTAAGATTACCAAAAAAAGAAGCTACGATGGAAATGATTCCACAACTTTATCATGAACAACTGTTGCAACTAGTGACCCTCACGCATATTTCTCAAACTTATTTTGAAGAAACTGACAAGGTCTCAACCCATCACAATATGTTCATGTTGATGAAACCATAACTTCTAAAGATATACATGCTGTTATGACGAACAGACTTTTGTCATAGTCATCATTCTTACGAACTCCTCGTCAATGGAGTTGGTGTAGCTTTTTATAACATCGGATTGGTACTTACAAATTGTACTTTACTATGACAACTTCAATAGTGTAGTTATTTCTTCGTGGGAGTACTAGATACAATGAACAGGTTTTCTAGGCTTGACACTATGCTTTTTTGCTTTTTTTAAATATATAATATTTATATATACGGCAAAATTCACACACTCCTCACCTTTGGTGAGGCTTGAACCTTGACCTCTAAGGAGGTGGGGGATCAATCAGTAACTTGGGTGCACCATTGACCCTTTGGCAAACATGCCATACTTTATCTTGGCACGTAATAAGCTAGGTGGGAGTACACAAGTGGGATTATAAAAACGTAACTGATGAACTGATTAGATTATTTTTTAATGTCTGGATCATTCTCAGTCACCATCCAATTCACGATCTTGGCCTACATTGTTCCATTTGGCCCAAAAATGATTTTGAGGAATAACAGTGTGATATGACCATGCTACACTACGAAACTTAATCAAGCAGTTCGCTCTCCAAATGAAATTTTCATTAATGAGTCATGGTTCCCCGTATATTAAGCCAGCCTACCTGTTCCTGCCATGTGTCACAACATGTTATCATTTCGAAGCAAGAGTTCTGTTGTCATATTATCTTTTCTGACTCTCTGTCACTTTTCACAAACAGGGGGGTTTTACTGGAAACCACTTTACTCTTTGGGGTAGAGGTGAGGTCTGCATACATCTTAGGGGCTATTTGGGTGGTTTTCCATCACGTCCTGTATGGACAAAGTTGACAGTGTGCACCAATCTGTCTATATAGATTGGGAGAGTTTTTGTTCGGGAGTTGGTTTTTTCATAGATGGAAGGAGCGTGTTCTTAATTGGGAAGGGCAGGTTTGGAAAAATTGCTTTCTGCATAAAGCTCCCCCCTAGAAGCTTACCGAATAAGCCGCTTTCATTAAGCCACAACCAAACAGTCATGTCTAGCTGACCGAATAAGCTGCGAGTCCCATTAAGCTCATTAAGCTGTTAACAAACAGGTCCTTGGCCTTTCCAGACCCCACCTCCAAATGGGAGATATTGGGTTCGTTTGGTTTGGGTTTTTTAGTTCTTTTGACATTGTTAAGAGAAAAAGTTGACTATAGTACATGGTTATGATGCATTGCTTGTGTAGACCTTAGGGCTCGTAACCTTTGTTATCATCATACAGTTAGTCTAGCCTCCTTTACTCAAGGCAATAGAACTCCCCAGGTAAAAAATCCCTAACAAGCCATGCATGGTAGGGTGGATTTAAGGAGGGGGGTGCCCGTGCTACATGCGCTCTATTGTGCCAACATAGTGGAATTTCTTTAGGACTCTTAGCATCCGCTTTAGTTTGATATGTGGTCCCCTAAGTTAACAAGAAGCTGTTGCAGCTTACTAGTAGTGTCTTTACACGTGGCATTATAGGTTTAAATTTCGAGTCCCTTTGGCTTTCTTTTAATTTTTTTGGTAACAATAGTAGAAAAGAACGATAAAACCACTTGGGTGCTGCAAGAAACCACTTGTATGTCACTTTTAATAAATCATACTTTTTATAATTGTTTTTTGTTTTATTTATATTATGCTAATTATTTTGTGCCCCCGTATAGAATTTCTTTCTGGATCCGCCTCTGCATGCATGGTGCACCACACAAAAAGAATTTATAATCTCGTTTTAATACGATTTGTTCAAAAAATTATGTGCAGGATACTGTGGAGTACAAGAAAAGAGTCCGCCAGCAAGCAAAGCTATATCCTCCTCTTGTCTAGATGCAATCCATGGTTTCCTAGTTTCATGTAGATTGACATCTCAAGGAACGTTACATGATTCTCTTAGCCCTCGGTTTCTTTTCTGTTGATATTTGATAAGATCGTGATCTGCTGGTTCGTCGATTATTGTTATATAGAAGGCAAAACCTTCTTTTCATTGTTGATGGTTATCTATTTCTGGTTAAACATATTTCATGGGTTCTCCAGTTACTACTTATTAGCCGTTTGAATGGATTTACAAAACGAGATTTGGATCGTAGACATATCTTTAGCTCAAGTTTCATTTAACAGTAGCATCATTATATATATATATATATATATATATATATATATATATATATATCATTCTGCATCTTGGCTAATGTAACATTTTGACATGTCCAGCATTCATAGCTAATCCGGGACAAGCTCATTCAGAACTGGATCCAATTCAGGTATTTTCAAAATTCCAAGTTTAGGAGAAAGTTCATTTTGTCTATGATTGGAAAACTAGCTGATAAGATAGTTGTTGGTGGCTGATAAACTAGTTATGTGGTAAAAACTAGCTGATAAACTAGTCATGTGGTAAAAACTAGCCAATAAGTTGGATGATGATATAAAATGGCTTAAAAGAAAAAATTGAAAAAAAGCCATGAAGCTTATTGGAGATTTGAAAAGGAGAAATTAAGTGTACTTTTGTCAAAGAAATAAAGATTTTGATTTCATAAAAAAGAGATCTAGTCTTGCCTACATGTTTAATTTGCTATGTACATTCGTTTTTACTTGCTCTGCATGTCTTACCTGCTTATATTGTATGGTTTCACTCCATTGAATCGTTATTGTATTTGTTTTATTTTTCGATTACCTGTTGTATGTCCTTCATCTTATTGTTTGCTTGGGCATATCTTCTTTCATGCACATGCTGGTGGTGTTTATTGAAACAACCTCATGATCCTAATGGTTGGATAAGTTCTGTATACATTCTACCCCATCCAAACTCTATTTACGAGTGAAATATATTGGGTTCGTTTGGTGGTCTAATGGAGGTGAAGAAGAGGAACAATCATTCATTCCATTGGTTTCAGTTTTGAAGAAACTGGTTTTGTCCATCAGTTTTGGTCCTAACCGTTGGTTTTAACCGGTTTCCGTTGATCCAGGTTCCAACGAAATCTTCAAACTATTATTCAATTAAAATTAACTCAAATGATCTCTCCGTTTTAAAAATTATAGATGAATCGTCGAACATCTTTTGATTATTTCAAGAGATCCTTCAAAATAGAAAAAAAAAACCCGTAGATTTTGGGGATGAGGCGAAAGGGAATGTGGTGGTATATCTTATCTATTATGGATTCAATCCTAGGGGTCGATAAGAATTGTGGTCATTGAGTTTACGAAGGTTGATTGTGATTTGCTGGAAAGTCCTTTTGGGCATAGCCTTGGGCATGCTTTCAGAAAAAGACTTGGGGGTTTTTGAGTAAGGTTTTTTGTTTCAACAAATTATCTAAAAGCTTTCTCTAGAGTCTAGAAAGGACAAGATTTTCAAATCTGGAGAAGTCTCTAGAAATGATTACCATGAAAGATAATTTTTTCTTATTATACTCTCATCAGTAAAAAAGAATTTTTAAAATTAAATGTTTAGGATAGAGAAATAATATTTTGTTAAACTTGAAATATATTAATAATATAATCATTGTTGTATTTTTTTAAAAGAATCTAATGGAAACGCAAAACCAGATAAAATCCCGAAGAAGCTATAACCTTTCAAGCTATGTTTTTTGAACTATATAATATTCATTAGGCATGGACTTGATAAGATACCAAGTTTTTTCTTCAATACCGTGTATTGATGAATTATAATCAGTATGTAAAATATTATCTTATGTACCTGCCGTCTGTAATTGGTATAATTTTTTTTTTCAGTTGGTACATGTTGATACTGGTTTGGTACTAACTTAGTTATATATATGAAAACTTGTCATTTTGTTTAAAATTTGAGTGACATTTTTAGTTTTTAGGTATTATATGTAATATTTTGGGGTTTTAATCGCAAGAAATAAAACTTGCAAACATTCAAATGTTCATAAAAATAATTAAATTACAATGTTTAATATTTAACACATAAAAAATGCAACAAAAAAAATAATAAATAATTAAATAAATCAGTATTATAGTATTACCGTGGTACGTGACTTTCAATATCTTATAACAACCAAGTTTGCATATTTGGTACAATACTATCAATCAACTGTAACTGATACACATTAAATTGATATCAATTTAATTGGTACGTCTGATACACATGTTGGTTAGTTTGATGTTAAATCATCATTTCTAAATATTTATATACGACAAACGAAACTTACACACATTCTGAAGCATAGAAAATGTTAGAATTATCAGATACCACCAGATCAATAACTATTTGGTCTCTCAAAGTTATGTTGATTGACCATTTTACCCTTGTGCTTGGTTGTTATCTTATAATCCTTGTAAATGCCCAAAGATAGTGAGTGAATAGGAGACATTGGAATTGGAGTAATTGGGACCATTAATTGACACCTTAATGACATAAAAAGTCAAAGTAGGCACTAATAAGTAATTTCCAACTGTCCACACACCTTGATATTGACATATGCCATATTCCCAATGGGATACCATTATATGTTTTGGTATTAATTTTAATATTCTATATTAAATATCTAACGTCATAAATGTATGTCACGTTAAATGTCTAAAAAATCACATCAACAGTTTTTTTTAAGAAAAAGACCCGTTTTTAGTCGATAGTCCTTCTACTAAAACGTTTGGTTGTCCATTTAGGTCAAAAAGATTATTCAAACAAATATTTTTGCAACTCGTTTATCATTGGTACAAGATTTATCTGATTTTGTTTTGTAATAGAAGGACCAAGTGATCCTTGTATGCATGATAACATGAAGGCTTCGCATATTTATGTAAGTCAGACGACGTTGTAACAACTCATTCCACGTTGATAGAAAAAAATAGATTCGTGAGTTTTTGTATAAGTTCGAATTTCAAAGTTGTGAGTTACCAAGAATATCCATAATGGTTTTTAGTTGATTTGGAAGTTATTGAACTAGTCTGTTATTTTGGGATATAGGGGCGTTACAAATAGTATAAGAGACGATCATTATACATCAAGATGATGGGGGCAACCTTATCGAGCATGATAAAGAATGTTTGTAAGATCTTAACCTTATGACGGGGGCAACCAGAAAGGTGGTGTCTGATTGGTTTGAGATTGACTCCAAAGGTCAAAAGTACCTGGAGGTCCTAGGTTCAAATTCAATGAGAAATAAAAATCCCCTTGTGGTCACGGAGGTTCAAATGCAGTGACTCCGGGCTATCTGCAAAGCAGGTGGTCGCTCTGGGATTAATCGGCTCGCATAGCGGGTTGGATATTCAGGTTAATAAAAAATAATAATTATGGGACAGCATATCGAGAATGTCAAGAATTTAAGTCAGAAGTTCGTAACAACCAATCACACATTTATATAAATCTAGATTTGTGGGTTCTTTTTAAATTCAAAGTTATAAGCTATCAATAACTTCCATCATAGAATTAGGTTGATTTGAAGGTTATTTACTGATTTTGCTGCTTCGAGTGCTCTGGGTTATGGGGCATTTATAGTTGCTTCTTTGCGTATCTGTATATTGGATTCTTTTTACAGTAGATACAGACTCATTCAATCGCTGATACATTAATTAAGCCATACATTATTCTTTTACTACCATAAAATGTTATCAACAAGCAGATGATTAAAATTCCAATTTAAATATATAAATCTGTACATCTTTAAAAAAAAATTAATATCTTAAAAATATCATACCAAATTTAATTTGTTATGGTTTTAGGATACCCCACAAGACAAATTTAATCAGGGATAACAATAATTTTGACTAAAACAAGTCAACCCAAGTAGCCATTGATTTTTTTCACCTAATATTTTGACTTTGAAGCCTTTCATCAATTGTCAACTCTCACATGTTAAATCCAACTTAAACAAAACAATAAAGGCAAATAATCCCAAGATTTGTATTTGGTGTGTAGCTGGGTCATTTATCAAATGTTTATGCGGGTAAGCGTTTGTCAAGTCACATTACCTCAGTTGATGAATATGATAAGGACCAATAATCTTACCTGATAAGAGTGAGACAAGGACCAAGAGTTTCATCCGTTAAGTGATGACGACGACTCTTACCACGGTAAGTGCTTATCGGGTAAATTGTTGCATACAATGTTGTTTTGGTAGACTAAAATTGTACCCGGTAATAAATAATAGTGTTAAATTTACCGGTAAACACTTACCGGGAAAGTGTGTTTGGTAAACAACCTCTAAATCTCTATACATTTATCTTCAACATATTCCCACGTTGAAGAATCCAACAAATATTAAAATATTGTTTCTCTCTTTAAATATTTATTCTTAAAAAGTTTTCTATTGGTGCTCTCATTTGTTAATCATTTTTTGGGTAATCTTCATATTTGGAGAAAAAACCATTCTCTGTCCTACTTTCTCCATTATGGAGATGGTTTTGAAGGAGTTGTTGAAGCAAAATATAGGCTCAAAATCCTCATTTTCTCCATTTTGGAGAAGCTGTTAGAGATGTTTTTAATTGGCAAAAGGGTGTGATGACTTTGTAAATACCAGACATGTCTTAAGTTCGATCTTGAAGTGAGTCAAAAAATTCTCTACTCTCACTAGCCTCAACAACCGCGCGAGTTAGAAAATTCCCTCTCGATCTCGATAATCAACTTTTTTGCTCAAATAAAAAGGCAAACTGCAAATGAAACCAAATTTTAAAATCTTTACTGTAAGGAACGAACTTTTAATATTTTTCATTTTTTGGAACAAAAATGAATCCGACTTCGCTTTTGTTCATATATTAGGGATCATGATTTGGTGATTAGGTCTCGTACATGAGAAGTTTTAAACGTTGTTTCACAAAAACTGAATAAAAGTAAAGTTGATTGTATTTTGATACAATTTATTCGTAATAAAAATAGGTCATACTGAACGTGTTCTTTTTTTAATTATAGCTTGGAGAAATGAAAGTTTCGTTGTTGAAATTTGTAAGAGGTTCAATTACAGTGTAAAAACTCTTGAAAAGGCCAGAAGAATGAAACTAGATGAATCCTTTCTGATACAGATCAATATCAAACTGTATATTTCTACATTTTAAATTAATGATTTGATGTTGAGTGAGTTTGTTTAGAACCCAAATAAAAAGTTCAAAATATTATGAATTGTATCATATAAT